AAAACATCAGATATTTGAGTTTTGTTGAGCTAATGTACTACCTAGTTATACTTTTTAAATGAAAAAAGTAACTTTTGGTCCTAATTTTTACACATTGTCGTGGGTGCCGGTCGTGAGTGTTTGTAGCCCGCACATCTTCAAAATCAACACTAGATGTCACTGTGTGATTGAAAGATCATCGCCAGGAACTAAAGGCGTCTTTTTGCTGCAGTTACATTTCAAGTGCTTGCACTTGTGCAGTGATTTATAAAAATAAGTCAGAATGCTGTTATTAAGTTTCATTTGCTGCATCAGACAAATGAGAAGAGATTTATACACAATGTTTGAGTAAAACTGGATCCTGGATGTCCTTTAACTCAATTATGTTAAAACACTGAGCACAGATATAAAAATCTCTTTTGTTCCTGCCTTTGCGTTAGTGTTTTCTAAAAGTGGCTCCACTTTGGTGTAGGTGGAGGAGTGATGTGTCTCTCTGGGGTGATTGCCCAGGTCACCGGAGTCATGTGTGCATCATATCCTCCTCACAGTAAATCAGAAAGAGAGTGTCTTATCCATGTCGGTGTGTGACTATGTGTGTGTGTGTGTGTGTGTGTGTGTGTGTGTGTGTGTGTGTGTGTTTATCCTTCCTCCAGTCCACGGGGACAAATAGGAATGAGGAACTCATGGCCAGTCAGAGTCTGATTCAGATCCCAGTGGCTCCTCAGAGAACATCTGGGGTCATCATCTCCTGGTGTCTCATACTTCACTTATTCTCCTTATCGCTTCCTGTCGTTGCTGTGACTTACGGTGTGCTGAGTTTAAAAGACGAAGACTAGCTTGGAATGATTTTAGCAATAGCTTGATGTCTGAATGTGGAGAAACATTCAAGAGAAGGTCAATTTTTGATGTTTTTTTGAAACTGAGAGATGGTATCAGGTCCCTTTTAGTATTGTGAAATCATCCAAAGAAAAACTGCACTGAGGTTCAGATAGGGCCTCAGATAGCACAGTCTGCCCAATATGACTGTAGTTGATGGGATAATAAGTAACATTGTGATAGAAAGTGGGACAGTGCGGCCTTCCTGGCTATCTTTATGTTTTAGTCTTCCTCTCCTTCAACTATTGTGATATCTCCTTTGGCCAAAGCTCCTTGTCTTCCTCGATTCATGCATATGGCAGACTTTGTGACCGTAATTTCAATTTAAAACACATGAGGGGAAATCCTAGCCCGCGCTGCTCTTTAATGGGCCGTCATGGGATTGGAGTATGCAGAGAATGATTGAATTTTGTGAGAAGGCCAGGAACGATCAAGTCTCGCCTGCCGTTATGCAATCGACCATTCCCCTCTCACAACGCGACGTCTGGTAAAAACCTAGTGGAAGAGGAGGAGGACGGGGAGGTGGAAGGGAAGGGAGGAGGGGGGGCTAAGGCCTGGAAACCTCAACGTCTGGACCAAAAGAGAGAAAAATATTTTTTCTTCTAAATGACTCAAGACTTTATAAAAAGAGAAACTCGGCTATCGAATGTAAAGAGAGCCAAATGAGATGTGATCCACCACATCAAAAGCAGAGATGTTCGACAGGGTTGCTTTTAATGGTGGTAAATGAGTCTTTTTACACTGTAATGCATGACATCCTATATTTCCTCGCAGACGGAAACATATGGATCCTATACAAAGCCTGCCATAGTGTTTTATTTATATGATTGTGTCATGTCTGTTTTCTCCCTTTGCTCTCCACCTGCTTGGCTCACTTTGACAGTGTTGAGATAAAAATTCAGCCTTCTCCAAAGCACTAATATTACCACACTGTCCAAACTTTCACACGTTTTGTGTTGGATTAGACCACCGCAATATATCTTGTCAATGAAGCAAAATAGACTACCTTTCCCGTTAAGTCCATTATATTCAAATGGCCCGGGCCTTTTTTATTTTTTTCTTCTTCGCAACAAGACATAAAGTAATCAAAAGTTAAAAGCAAACACTCAAGGAGGCACTTAGCAAAAAAGAAAAGCTTTTATGATAAAACATTCATATACAGTGCAGGAGACAGGTAATCTTTGAGGATGATAGGGTTGTCTTGTGGTCAGTTTCTGTATAGTATTGCTTGGGGAGCTTTGTAGATGAATGCTCCTAATAACATCCCCGCCCACCCATCATCCACCGGACGATTCAGGCAGAACAACGAATACCTGAGTGTATTTCTTCAGCCGTGTGAACAAGTACGCCTTAAAGAGCTGCTGGAGGCTGCAGGGTTTGTTACCTTGACAGATGGATGACAGCTCAGCAGGGGTGAGATGTACGCACTCGCATAACCAGAAAAAAATAACGCGCTATCGGTGGCCCTGGTGCTATTCACACATAGTGGGATTTTGCATAAATCAGACCGCCTGAGCTCCAGTCAAAGAAGGAAATGCCTCAGTGTTTTCTGGAGCTCTGACTTCTTGCAAGTCATTTGAAAGTTATTTGCGGAAGACATCTAAATCAATATGTGATAGCTACGCTAAGGGTGCAGAGAAAATATGTGGATTTGAAAAAGTTTGGTGGGAAGAAAATGAATATCAATACTTGCACTTCTTTGCTAGGTTCTGCTGAGAGTTAGAGTAAGAATATTGACACCCCTCCTTTGTCTTTGTGGTACATATGAAACCAATAGCCGACTGGATTCGCTACACATAAAGACTGGAACCAGGCAAACAGTGTGAGTTGGTCTTTTAAAAGGTCACAAACACCTCTAAAGTTGTTTAATCAGTACAAAAACAAAAATGTAAAAGCAGCAAGTGTGTTTTTATAAGTGGTGATGTGAATCAGTCAAAACATTAAAAGTGCCTGCTCTGAATCATCAGGGCTGAACATGAGATCTCTGGGGGCATCCAGCCTGGCAACAGGATACTGGCAGAGGGTGCTTGGAGTCATATGGGGCCTCCATACATCAGGTTGGTTTTTTATGCATTGCCAGGGTGCCTCATCAAATTCTGACATGAGGAGTTTGGAGGCCTGCTGAGCTCTTGGTTGTGTTCCTCGACACATTGCTATGTAGTTTTTGTGGTGTGGCAGAATGCATTGTCCTGCAGGGGGAGGCTTGGTCTGCAACAATAGTTAAGTTGGTAGTGCATGTCAAAGTAACATGACTACCAGGACCCAAGGTTTCCCAGGAGACTGTAAAAAGATCATTCACTAAACCTGTGAGTGGCTTTATTGTCGTAACTGATCGGTGTATCTGACTGTTTCTTGATTGGATGGAGTGACTTCCTACAACTTTCAAGACAGAACAAGATGTAGGGTAATATTTCGTACCCTTGGACAGAGTCAGGCAAATAGTTTCTTCTGTTTCCAGCCTTTATGCAAAGCTAAGCTAACTTCTTCCTCGGCGGTGAAATGCTCGGCTGTGATTTTATATTTATCCATTAACAAGATGGAAGAAGATACCGAGACTATTTCTGGGCCTGTTGCAGTATCATGTCGTGTCATCGCTGTGCAGTCGTCACTCAACCAGGGAAAATTCCAGGAAGGTAAATGCCCAAGCAACAAATCGCCCAGTGTGTAACCCCTCATCAAACCACATTTCATTTTCACACCTTTTTAAAAAAAATTTTTTTTAACACAATTAGTCAGCTTCAGAGCTGAGGTTAGGCAGGTTTTTGCTACCTTTAGATGATCTGTTTTTCCCCTGTTTACACTTTTTTCAAACTAACCTAGCAGACTGCTGACTCTGGCTTCATGTTTCATGGTGTGGCATTAGTTTACTCATTTTAAAGATCTGGTGTGTAGGATTTTTGTGGCATATAGCACTGCGGTTGCAGATTGAAACAAACTGATTATCTCATATCTCACCCTTTCCTTCCAAGCATGTAGGAGGCTGCTAAAAACACAAAGGTCATCTCTAGAGGTATCACTGGTCCATTTTGAGGTATTGTAAGATTATGGCCCCTCTGTAGATACAAAAGACTCATTTTAAGATAACAAAAGCCACACAATTCTTATTTTTAAATAATCGTATAAGAATTTAAACAAAAATAATCATTTTATATTTAATTTTAACCACAGATCCCCTTAAATCTTACACATGGGACCTTTAACTCATCATTAAAAAAAGTAAGCAAGTATGTGGATGGTGACAAGCTTTGTTTGTTTCTTTAGATCAATATTTATAGACCACACAGAATTTGTGGTTAGACTTTTATGATCACAATAATTCGTCCTTCTATTTGGCTAAATCATAAACAACTAAGTGAGAAAAAAGAAAGAAAGAAATAACTAAAGAAGCAAACGCTCAGTTCTTCGTTTCAGGAAGTCACTTCGCAGGGGTTATATCTGGGGTCAGCTTTAGGTCACACTGGGCATCCATTAGTGGCCTTATTTAGAGTCTTATTCCTTTAAGAGGAGTGATTGGCCAGCTAAGACAAAGAATCATTACCTTTGCCCGCCCCCTCCCTGCCAGCAGTCAATAATGAAGGATCATTAAAATGAATAGATGGACATTCCCCTTTTCTCCGGATCCTTATTGCAAAATCAGTGTCAGGGGAAATGAAGATTGAGCTTGGAGAAGGCGTCTAAAAGCCTCACAGTGATTGTCGTGAACTCATCTCCAGTGCCAGGCTCCTTTATCTACTGTAAGAGTCTGCACCTGCCTGAACTCTTGACTAGCAAGGGCTTTTACTGTAGCCCATTAAGAGCATCCCTAATGCTCACTACAGTGTACTTCAACATAAACATTCTGCATATGTACCGAAACATTTACAGCAAACAATGGAAGAATGATTGCTTCGGATGTCTTCAAGTTTTTTTTTTCTTTCCATCAAGAAACACAGCTCTCAGAGCGAACCAGATATTGAATGCTCTGACTTTGATGTGGAGAATAGAGAACTCACGTGTTGTGATCGTATAAACAGACACTTAAAGATAATTCTCACTTTTCACATTTCTTAAGCTCAAACATCTGTCCCGCCGCTGAATTTTATAAATCCTTGCACAACATTTCACGCATCACAAAAGAAAGAGCGAATCAAGCTGAATGATTGCAGATGGGAAAATAAAAGACGGCACAAGATTTTTCCAGGCCCCATCTGGTTGCCTTTCTGAGAGTCTCTAAAAGTGTCTTTTAAAAAGGTGATTTGTCTAGTGGGTCTGCAACGATGTGACCATGTCAGCATGTCATCTGCTGATCCTGTCACATGTGAAACGGTCTCATAAAAAGGGGAGTTTGTGTACACCTGTGGAGTCGGACAGCCCCACCCCAAACAGATTAGAAAGACACATGTAAACACTCACACATACATGGTCCTCATCTTCTTTCTTCATCATCTTAAAGGTAACTGATAAGAAGGCCTGTTTATAGTCATCTGACATGTGTTTCTAACGAATAAAAGAAAAAGAAAAAAGTCACAAAAACTGACTCAAGGGACTAAAAGAGGCCGAATTCATGACCGGCTTATGTGGCAGAACTATCAAAGGTCCCTCAGTATGGTCAAGCAATTATCTCTTAAAGCATCTCTTAAAGCCACCCCCATGGTTCTCTCAACATGCCCTTCATAACAGAGGTATATTGAGGATTTACTGCCTGCAGATGGCCGATGAGAGACGAGGGCAGGAGCTCCAGCGCTGTGCCTATGTGCTCGCTTTATAAAAGCCCAAATCAAGGGCTCTGTGGGAATACAATAGCGGAGGAAGTGGGGCCATAAAGACACTATAAATCTGTACAATGAAACTTCTAAGTCGTGCCCTCTGCCAGGTGGTGTGTACATGCAGACCTCGGGGAGGAAAAGGCACGCGCTGCAATCATTATGATCAGGGATTGACTGCTTGCCTGTCTGTGATGCTGTCTTCACTGTGGGGCTGCCGTGGCCATTGAACGGGAGAGTGTGTCTGTTATCCGTCCGTCAGCAAGTCGGCCTGTCAGTCGATCATGTCTTTTTTGATCATTTGTTCAAGCAATTGGCGGAATCAGTCACACACACTTCATATTTCTAGCTGGAGAAGCAGCAGGTTGTTTGGAGAATGAAGGTAAGGCCACAAATCTTTCAGATCACCAAGAAATTATTAGGAAACCAAATCAATAGCTAAAGCCAAGGAGGACATAGCTACTGACAAATTTCTCATGACAAATAAGAAAATCCTGCATTATTTTTTTTTAAATGAAAATTTATACTCAGTATCAGATCAGCAATGCGATAAAACACATTTCCTGGCAAACCTAGATATAAATGCAGCTGCAGTGATACAGAGGGACTATCAGTCTTAACTTGAAGACAGGATTATACACAGGCAGCAGATTGTGTGAGATTCAAGTAACACCACAATCTTATGTGAACCTTTTTTTTTTACAACTCAAATCCAAAGCAGCGCTGTCAGTGTCTGAATAAAACGTTACTGTAATGCAGTTATTCAAGCTTTTGAATACGCTTTCCTGCTGAAGATGAGAAGATCAAAACTACACTCACATTTGTCAGTTAAATATAAAAATGTACACAAGAGGTTTAATTTACCACAAAACCTGGACACAAGGGGAACATGTAGCTTGACTCTGTCAAAGAAAGACAAAGAAACCCACCTTCCAGCTTCCTGAAAGCTCACTAACAAACACATTACATGTTGTTATATATTACAGTGAAAGAAATAGTATCATGCTTAATCCCTTTAAAACCACAACTTGTCATCTTTACACCTTTTGAAGTGTTAATTAGTCAGCTTTAGAGTTGCGGTTAGGCACACTTTGTTACCTCCCCGAGTGGCTGCATCCCCTCTGCTGTCAGTCTCTGTGCTAAGCTAAGCTAATCATGTCAATGGTAAATGTAGAAATGAAGGCCTTTATTAGCAAAATTCAAGAAAAGAAGCCTTGTGAGCAGTCTTTATAATAATATGACTGCAAGATTGTAAAGAAAAAAAAATGCAGTGATGTAAATTCTTAAATTTTTACAAAATATTTGAAAAGAAGTTTTACAAGTTCTGTATTTGTTAACATTAAAAAAGATTTTTGATTCTGCACTTGTCTTCATTTCACGGATATTCCATCGTTTTAGGCAGTTTCTCGTCTTGACTGCCGCCTCGGCAGTGGAAACCGTGGCCTGGAGTCAACTCTCCACTGTGTCAAATGGTATGGCGCTGTTAGAGGAAGACTAAGGTAAGAAGAACAGGGTGCCAGGAAAAAGGGGCGTGACTGCATCTGTAAATAGTGGGGCTATTTTGGGCTTATACCACGGCCGTACAGGGGAGCACCGCCTAGGCCTGCCTTCTGTCACTATGGGGATGGGCGCTTCATAACTTTGCTGAATGGAAAAAGTCTGGAGGACTGGCAGGTGGTACACAGGAGCGTGGCACAGCTCCCATGGCGAGGAGCTGTTTCACTCATAACTACCCACCGCTAACAATACTCACCGGAAAACACACAGGCCTCTGCTTGCACTTGGCATATCAGCAGCTTGTTGCTTTTTTGTCCTGCTAAAGAACAGTGTGGGTGGTGAAAAGGTAAAGGTATATGTGTAAGTTGTTAAATGGTGGTCGGTGGTGAAAATGCGTTGCTTACCTCTGCACCATGCCCAGGTGGGATTCAAAATGTAAGTTTTTGAAGAAAAAAAAAAAAAAATATATATATATATATATCCCAATTTCATTTTTTTTCTTTAAAATTTTAGCTTTACTTGAAAAAAAAAGTGAAATAAGCTAAGCGTTTTTTTTTTCTCATTTTTTTAACCTTGAATAAAGAAAATGTTGCACACATTTCAGATTTCAAGTTTATTTGAGGTTAAAACAAGGAATCTACGTAGAAATTTCTGATCTGAAATTCCCATTTAGGTTTTATTTTATCTTTTAAAGTAGTGTGAAAAGACAAAATCAGTACTGAACTTGTTCAAATGCAAACAGAACACCAGGCCTTTTGTTATTCATGGTCACCATTATGCCATTTATTAATTCATTTTTGAGAACACATTAAATGCACTTAAAACACATTTCCATTTTTCATAAATATTTCATATTAAAGAGAAATATATTTCACCTTGTGCCTACACTGAAAAGCATTACAGAGTTGCAACGATTTTGTAGCCGAGAAAGAGATAAGGCACAAAATAGAAACCCTTTTTTTTGTTTGTTTGTTTGTTTTCATACAGTTTAGTCATGCTACTATAGTATATGTCCAAAAGTGGAGTAAGGAAGCTATTCTGGAAGCTACGATCAGCTAAATGATCCCCAGCGACAGTACAGTGTGCATGCTCCAAAAGACAGATCACATGGAAAAGACTGCAGCTATGTGAAGGAAGAGTTGATGAAGGTTTGTCTGTGACACAACAGTGGAGATCAGCCTACGATATTTGGTCTGGAGGCAAGAAAATCTGCTCTGTTTCTACGGTAAAGTGCATAATGTTTTTTTTTTTAATTTTTTGTACGGTGGGGGGGAAACAGCTCTATGCTAAAGTCTCTGACAGAAAAAGGAAACTTGGACAATAATTTCACCAAAGATAAAATCCTTTGGTTAACTCAGATCAATTATTGCCAGCTGTAAGTAACAGTCCTGCCGACTCCTCAGTGAAATCCCCCAGATGATGAGCAAAACTGTGGCGTACTTCGATAATCCCTGTGCCTATTTACATGCAAAACCTGCAGTGCAAGAAGTAACAGACAAATATATAAATTGTCCAGGAGTATTCTCATTTAAATTCAGCAGGTAAGCATACCATTGTTCAACTATCTCATAGCTGGGGAAGAAGAAGAAGAAAACTCTGATACCTGCCTTTATAAGCCCCTGCAAACCAGGAACTGCTGTCATAGGATATGTACTATATATTTCATATTTTCTCTGATTGTCGTTGCATCATTATGTCATGATCTGGGCGGAGGACTGGAAGACCGGGAAAAGCGTGATTAAAAAATAGGCACTAAGGTGAAAAGCATAACGCAGGATAGAAGAAATGGTACACAGTGATATCAGGGAAAGACAAATGGGAAAAAAAGGAAAGCTAAATAGCAAACTGCATGATATAAGGATAAGGCATACATATTTCCAAATACATGTTTATACAAAAGAATATCATACATAACATTCAGTATAAATGAACAAAGATAATAATAAGGAAGCAAGAAAAATACAATTCTAATCTATTCACATACTCCCCTACATAGAATTCCAGCCTTTTTTTTATTTTATTTTTTTTTTATTCTGGTTCCCTGTAAACAAATCATTGAAATGATACAAAAATGTCATATAAAATCTTCCACTTTGGGTTACAATGAACCGTTTGCATTTGTGTGACCGCTGCTGCTGCTGCTGCTTGTTGTCTGCTGTCAGTATCACTGCTGTAAGGCACCGATTTGGTTGTTGCGGACTGACTGCACAAACAAATGAACCCAAGTGATGAAGCTCGACACTTATTGTCCCATTAGCTTGTCCATGCATTTAACATACAGATCACGCCAAATGAAGATTGTCATTTGTTAAACATAGAGGAGTAAATCAGTCTCATTGAGCTGTTTGGTCCACGAAACGTCTTCTGTGAAATAAGGCGAAGTGTAGTCGTATACTTTGCCCCTGATATCATTTCCCTTTTTTTTTCTTTTTTCTTTTCGTAAGTGTAACATTCACCTGTTGATTCTTGCCAGTGATTGTCAATGTGAGTCTGCAGCGAGTCTCTGAGCGAAGAGGAGCTGATGGTGATGGTGTTCAGGTGGGAGATCCTGGTCAAAACTTCATTCTTCATAATCTGGATCTCTAGTATTTTTCTTTTTAATGTCCTCTTTTTTGTTGTTGCTGTTGTTTCAGGGTGTGTGTGCTGCTGCAGAGGGCTTCTGGATGTCTATGCATGAGTGTGCACAGAAATGCTGGAGAGGTCGTTCCTGATGATCTCATTAACTGTGGAAACAAAAAAGAAAAAAAAAAAAAGAGACATAGCAGATCATTATAAACCGGCCACATTGAATAACGATTCACATCATTGAAGCCCTATTACATTTAATGGAAAAAGCCGGCCTGGAATGGTTGTCAGTTTGAATACCTGGAAAGGCAAACAGGGGCAAAGTAGGCAACTGATTCAGGGCCCAAAGAGATCCAGGCTAATTTAAAGGGTCACTCCACAGACTTTACACATTAACAACAGTTTACTTGTCATGGTTATTACCAAACAGTTGCATAATGTCTTGTGTGGCTGTGATGAGGGTTCTAAAGTCTGAAAATACAATCTGATGACATCACCTGGGTCGCCTCAGGTTTGACTTCATAACAGAAAGCTTGTGGTGCAAACTGGTAATGCAGAGGCTGAAAGAAGCGGACATTTGCTAGACAAGGAGGGTCTAATGAAATGTGCGATCACCCGGCATTATGGGAAGCGTAAGATCTGTGATGTCTGGGCCGTGACTCATTCTAGGGAGAAAAAGTCAGGATATGTCTACATTTGTGAAAGTGCAACACTAAATCAGTGTAATTTCTTTTTGTTTTATGAATATGCAACAATAATACATGATAATTTGCCTTAACTTACACGTACGAACCCTTCAGAAGTCACTGATTCCTTATCTAATCTTGACTAGTCCTCATTGTATCAATTTTGTGCTTGTGTATTGCAAACTTCTAAATTAAGGATCATATTATAACAGTGGGGTTAAAAACAAACAAAAGAAAGAGACTGGACAAATTGCACAACGTGTACGGGCAGTATGCGGGATTGTAGGGGCCGAGAAGTTTATTTGAACCTTTCAAACAACTAACAGTTTAATCCAATCCCTGGACGTCATAGGGGAAAGATTAGGTAAAAAACTGAGCGTTGCTGCGTAACTGGGTAAATAAAAGTTATGTTGACATGTAAAATGCAGATTTAATTAGTTGATATCACATCCAACAAATATCTCCTGTTACAGAAAGCTTAATACTTAGACTGATCTAACACCTGACGCGGCAATGCTTCACCGAATACTTGGCATACATGTGGCCAAGTTGAGAAAGACTGGATATCAGTAGCTGCAATCCAAACATATCAATGCCATTACCAACTCATATCGGCTCCATACACACATCTCTGTTTTTAAGTCGCCGTCTTGTCTTTCCTGCTCTAGTTCCTGTGCCCGCGCTTTTCCCACAGTCGGGCAGACGGAGATCAGTGCCCTGCCTTTATCTGCTCTGTGTTCTTTGGCAAAACAGAGGGAAGTGACTGAGAAGATGGCGAGGACCCCGAGACCCGAGGCTCGACACAAACAAGAGGCTTCGTAGTCGTAGCGCTCGCTGTGATAACGTGAGTCGATGTAGACAGAGAGCGAGAGAGAGAAAAGAAAGAGTCTGGTGAAAAACCGCCATCGGAGCCGAGACAGGAAGTCCACCCACTCCGAGGTTCAAAGTGGGCCTGCAGTTTGTTATCACAAGATACTGTGAATGGTGAAGCACCAAGATGAAAACATCACTAAGAAGAAAACAATTTGGAATCCCTGTAACATGCAACCATGTAAATGCTGCTCAAATGTTTGGCGAAGGTGCAGATGAAACATGGAAAAAATGCAAATATTTCTACTTTTTCTTGTGGTACAAGTGAACTAATCTATGGGAAATGAAGTGCAAAACACGACAGAAATACCTTCAACCAAGGCTACATGAAGAGATTACAAACCCTCATGTGGAAGGTTTAAGAGTTTGGAGTGGATAGATGTAAACTGGTTCCTTCTTTATTGTTGATTTGTGGAGCGGATTCCAATTTTTAGCTTTATTTCTTAGTATTTTTCACTATCTATAGTAAGAACAAACTCAATACACTTGTTGATGTGACTCGCTAGGTTGGGTGTCAACAACATCATGGCATGTGCTTGGTGAGTAACACACTTTCTTTTGGTTAATGCAAGTTGTTGCCATCACGACAGAGATACAAGGAAATGCACCTCCTCTGCAGACTTCCCATGACCAGAAATCCTTCACACCTTCAAGCTTAGACTTAGACTGACTTTGCTCTGCTAAACAATTTTGGAGTGACATGAGATGTGTGTCACTTGCATTTCTTGTCTTAGTCAATTGTGATATTGTTGTGGAGGTCATCTGTCTCTTCACGTCTGCCTGTAATTGTCTTTTTTGGTGCGGCTGAATTTTTATGAAAGTTGCCAAAGGATCATTTTCCAAAAGGACAACAAACAAAACTAATGAACTAAGGTTGGAGACAAAATAAATACACGTAAATAGATTAATAAATAAATAAAGTGGAAGAGATTTTTGTTTTTTTTTAAAAAGTAGGCCGCACACCTATGATAGCATGCCCAGCTTTCTGTTTGCAGAAACACCCACCTTTCTACACACACACACACACACACACACACACACACACACACACACACACACACACACACACACACACACACACACACACAGGTTGGTTGGGACTCACCTCCCTCAACAGGAGGAACTCCCATTGGAAAAATCAATCCTGTGCCAACACTGCTGGCTGTTTTCAACTCTATTCCGCTCCGGGCTAAACAGGCATTTACATGCTGAGGTTATTTTTAGCCCTTTAGCAGGCCATAGAGGAAGTGCAGGCACATGTAACAATTAAATGATCAAACTTTAATGTCGCTGCTGATGTGAGAAAACAGCTCCAGGTACTTCTAAAGAAAGAAGAGAAGGGAAAACCCGACAGCTCGGTAGCGAAAAAAAAAAAAAAAGCCACAAATGTACCTTTTGTTTTTCTCAGATCGAAAGCGGTGGCTTTTTTTCTTCTTTTCTGTCACTAAAAAAAAAAAAAAAAAACTAAATGTGACGTCTCCTCCGCCCACATTGTAACTGTGGTGTTATTTTGCTGCGCTTTATCAACTAATATTTTCCATTGGCATGCCCAGTGATGTTCCGTTCTGAAGAAACGAACGATAAAGAGAGATGAAAGGTGAAACGCTGGCCCTTGTGTTTTCATCTATGTACTCTCTCGTCAATGTGAGGATTTCAGAAACAGGATGTGGCCTACTGCTACACCACAAGACAACACCAAGATGCTATTTATAGCTACTTTATAGGGTAGCTCTTGTCACTATTTAGTTGCGACTTCTGGGAAATGAAGAAATTTGAAAGAACCTGAATGACTGAAAGATAAACACACACACATACAGGTGACGACAGTGAGTGAATGAAAGGCCTTGCACACCCCATCTAACGCTTCTTCCAGCACATTTAGTTTAGTTCAAAAAGTGTTTCTGTCCTCGATGCAGTTTTGCACTGTTGTCAGTCTGTTTTTGTTGACAGCAAAATCCTCAACGCCGAAAAACGAACCAAGATCACAGTTCCATCAATGCACATTTTTCTGTTTTTTCCATTTAAGACATTGGCATGACATCTCAGCATTTTTGAGTCTGTCTCACCTTCCACGAAGTGACTAGATAACCACAAATATGCAGCGAAGAGGAAGGCAGTCAGACATGCTGGGGAACATTTTGTTCTGACTGGAATCTGGCTCCAAATATTCAGCCCCTTGCATAATGTGGATGGGCAGGGGTATGCGTAAACTAGGTCTTGTAAAGCAAGGTGTATTGTTTGAAAAAAAAAAAAAAAAAGTATGCCAGAGGGTAATTTTCCTCTTTCATGATTTCTATATACAATTGTAAAAAAAGAAGAAAAAAAAGGGGGGGCAGAGAATTCTATATTATGTTGCACAATAATGAAGCAAAGCAGGCTGGCATGCCACTCAACCGCACTGGAAACTTGTTTCTTTTTTTTCTTTTTTCAGTTGCCCAGGTTAATAATGGAAAGCTGTAACTGGGAGGATACCCTCTCATGAATAAACAAAAACAGTGGAAAACTGAGCTCCAAATATTCCCCTGCTGAAAAAAAAAAAAAAAAATACAAAAACAAAACACGTGCCCTGCTAGTCTTAGTCAAACAGAGTGACATCCTTTATTAGCTGTGCTGCCAGTGCAATCTGTAAACCGCAGTCAGGACCTGTCAGGACGTATGCTTAAGGCTGGGCGACTGGGAAGAGATCTATTTCAGGCAGGTGTGAGAGTGACACACAAATATGACTGCGCTTCACTGTGATGTCCGCTGAGCCGAACAGTTCAATAGACAATTCAGCTCCTTTGTGAGAGGTCTGCTGGTGTTTCTGTGCGGGGAAGTGGCTCGCTGCTAAACCTGCGTCTCCGTTGGGTGTGACTGGTGGCTGAATAAATGTTGACCTCGCTAAAATAACCAGTCTGTATCAACTGTGATGGGAGACGATGATTTGCTTCCACCTACTAGGTGGGGCTGCAGAGTACCTTCAGCACACAGGCCGCAGCTGTTATAAACCACATAACGTAGGTGGGAAACAACCGGCTCATCGTCTGACAGGTTAAGACCCACCACGGCAGTAAGAGCAAAAAATAGTACTGCAGGCATGTCGCAGCAGGTACTAGTGAGCAGATAAATCTAATGTAGGAAGCCCCGTTTGAGTAATGCATCTGTGAATCCTGAGGCTTATCGCCGGAGAGTGGTTTATAACACTACGCATCCAGGATGTTACAGCCGTATAAAGTTACAGCAACAGGTAGTGTAGCTTCTGTCTTGATGATCACAAAGTAAACAGCAGAACAGGAGTTAAAGTAAAAAGTTAAGCCAGGTTTGCAACAGACTTCTGCATCTAAAACCAGCCATGTTCAGATAACAAGGAGGAGAAGGGCATAGAAAGACAAAACTGCTTGATATTTGTGGCATTTTAACACCCCACTGTATTGATTATGAGGCTATATTAACTGCAGAAGTTTGAGAACAACATGCAAAAGTTGGTGATGGAAGCAGCAAATCAGTCTAATCAACGAGCAAAAGTTATGACTTCAGCAGTGCCACAGAATTACTTTGTATATAATTCTGTGCAAAAGACACTTTAGATGTTTAGTTTCTGCATCCATAGGTAGCTAATGCAC